GTAGTTTGGTTGCGCGGGCTTTAATAGGTTAAGTAATGCCCTGGAATTGGTCATTAGATGATGGGGATTGCATTTTAAATAATGTAATCTTTCATGGCATCGAAAGGGTGGTCACCCTTTACGGCCACAGTTTACCGGAGGATTGATTTCACCTGATGTTGGGGTAGTCTCCCCTGCTATTGACTTTAGACCAGTAATTGGTTTTTCCTTGTCGGGTTGTGCATTAAGATTGATCCCATGCTGCCTGCCATTCCGCCACGGGACTGCTATAGCAAGAGAGTAGATACATAGCTCGAGTACTTAAGCAAAGTGCTTGGACCGGCGCAGCTATGTACAAAGAATTGCCACCTGAGTTCTTCATTAAAGGATTCAGGGGCGAATGCTGGACCGTCCCAAGTTGGTTGAAAACGACCACCGTGAACTAAGGCCGTCAAGGCAGGTGTTCACGTTAAGCACATTGAAATTTTTGCCCCGACTGGAACAAGTAAACTTCAACCAAAGTCGCGTAACAGGTCACAAAATGACAACTGTTGAGATTAGAACAGCACCTAAAACTTCCCACGACATCCCGACATTTCCTATCTTCATGTATAAAGAAAATGGAATTGAATGACAGATAACTACTGTGTTAACCTGACATTTACTCTACCTTGGAAGGTGGGACATCCAACTGTTTCAGTGCAATCCTCGTTACTGACTTGCAGCTAAACCTTCCATTGATATCTCTAACAGTTAGAGAACTATTTCCAAAATAAAACCTTCCTAAACCACTGTGTTATAGTTTTCAATATTCATTGTTTATCAACTACTTATTTGAAACATTAATTAATCAAATTTGATGAATCAATTAAATGTAATTAATAACTTGAACTAATTAATCTTCATAAAAATTCTAACACAAACTTGACCAATATTTTGAAAATTGGAAAAAACACAACAAAAAGATAAATATTATTAATATTAATACCAATTTCATGCTTTCCATTTTTAATCTCTCAAAGATTCAGATTGCAATTTATGCATCTTATATGATGTATTTTTTTATTATTCGATTTACATTTTGTTACGCTCCATAAATTATTCGAAATAAACTGAAGCAAAATACAACAAAATACAAACAAAAACAAATAATGTTATGAGATCTTTAATGTTAAAACTCATATTTGGCATCCGGTTCCGGTTTTAACTAAGCGGCTGCTACTAACATTATTTTTCAGTTTTTTTTTGCATTTTTCTGTCTTCAAATGCAAAATATCATTAAGAAAACTTTGTTTTTGTTAAGTACTTGTTATTGTACTTGCCAACAACATAGTTTATAAACTATTTAAATGGGAATTATATGTAAAATAAATGTTAACTAGACAGGACTTTTTTTCTAAGGCCCACATCTTTTGTTTTTTTTGGTTTTAAACAAATAAGGAAATAAGCAGTTTTCTACATTTCTGCACAAAGCCAGTTAAAGCATTTTGTAAGCAAAATATTTTTAAATTTTTCTTTTTAGTCTTTAATCTGTGTTGTTGCGTCTATCTATCTGTCTGTCTTTTACTATTTCTTTTTTTTATTCATTGATAATGTCTAATGTCTAAAGCAGGTGGCAGACAGTTAGTTGCACGTTAACCATCACGTCATTTATTAAATGTTTATAACGTTTTTTTATTATTTTCTTTTGTTTAAAGGTTTTTCTCCGCTTTTGATATTTTCTATAATTTTTATTTGAAGTTTAACAGCATCTGTTAACGATTTACCAAGTGATAGACTTTTGTTGATTCTCCAATTTTTCTTGTCGTGTTGTCATCGTTTTTGTTGCTGTTGTTGTTATTGTTTTTTCTATAAACAATTGTTAAAATATTGTTGCAATTTCTTTAAATCATTTTGTTTAACTTTTTCTATAATATTTTGGCTTTTGTCAAAGGTACAAACAAAAGCAAATGCAGCAAAAATTGCACTATGGGTTAAGTTTTCTAAGAAGAAACAACTGACAACAGTTTGGCATTTAGTCTTGGCTAAAATCTGCACTATAGTATGAATTATAGTCCGGATTATATTGTAGAGTCTACAATGTAGACTGTAGAATGGTTTAGACTATAGTTTTTTATATAGTCCGAACTAAATTCTGGTCTATAACTAGTCTATAGTCTAGTCTATAGTCTAGTCTATAGACTAGTCTATAGTCTAGTCTATAGTCTAGTCTATAGTCTAGTCTATAGTCTAGTCTATAGTCTAGTCTATAGTCTAGTCTATAGTCTAGTCTATAGTCTAGTCTATAGTCTAGTCTATAGTCTAGTCTATAGTCTAGTCTATAGTCTAGTCTATAGTCTAGTCTATAGTCTAGTCTATAGTCTAGTCTATAGTCTAGTCTATAGTCTAGTCTATAGTCTAGTCTATAGTCTAGTCTATAGTCTAGTCTATTGTCTAGTCTATAGTCTAGTCTATAGTCTAGTCTATAGTCTAGTCTATAGTCTAGTCTATAGTCTAGTCTATAGTCTAGTCTATAGTCCTAGTCCTAACAGTCTAGACCTATAGTCTAGTCTATAGTGTAGTCCTATAGTCTAGTTTATAGTCGAGTCCTATAGTCGAGTCTATAGTCGAGTCTATAGTTCTAGTCTATAGTCTAGTTCTATATTCTAGGCTATAGGTCTAGTCTATAGTCTAGTCTATAGTCTAGTTCTATAGTCTAGTCCATTAGTCTAGTCTATAGTCTAGTCTCTAGTCTAGTCCTATAGTCCTAGTCTATAGTCTAGTCTATAGTCTAGTCGATAGTCTAGTCTAATAGTCCTAGTCTATAGTCTAGTCTATAGTCCTAGTCCTAATAGTCGAGTCCTAATAGTCTAGTCTATAGTCTAGTCTATAGTCCTTAGTCTATAGTCTAGTCTAGTCTATAGTCTAGTCTTCTATAGTCTAGGTCTAGTCTATAGTCCTTATAGTCTATCATAGTCTAGCTATAGTCTAGGCTATAGTCTAGTCTAGTCTATAGTCTAGTCTAGTCTATAGTCTAGTCTATAGTCTAGTCTATAGTCTAGTCTATAGTCTAGTCTATAGTCTAGTCTATAGTCTAGTCTTAGTCTAGTCTATAGTCTAGTCTATAGTCTAGTCTATAGTCTAGTCTATAGTCTAGTCTATAGTCTAGTCTATAGTCTAGTCTATAGTCTAGTCTATAGTCTAGTCTATAGTCTAGTCTATAGTCTAGTCTATAGTCTAGTCTATAGTCTAGTCTATAGTCTAGTCTATAGTCTAGTCTATAGTCTAGTCTAGTCTATAGTCTAGTCTATAGTTTAGTCTAGTCTATAGTTTAGTCTAGTCTATAGTCTAGTCTATAGTCTAGTCTATAGTCTAGTCTATAGTCTAGTCTATAGTCTAGTCTATAGTCTAGTCTATAGTCTAGTCTATAGTCTAGTCTATAGTCTAGTCTATAGTCTAGTCTATAGTCTAGTCTATAGTCTAGTCTATAGTCTAGTCTATAGTCTAGTCTATAGTCTAGTCTATAGTCTAGTCTATAGTCTAGTCTATAGTCTAGTCTATAGTCTAGTCTATAGTCTAGTCTATAGTCTAGTCTATAGTCTAGTCTATAGTCTAGTCTATAGTCTAGTCTATAGTCTAGTCTATAGTCTAGTCTATAGTCTAGTCTATAGTCTAGTCTATAGACTAGTCTATAGTCTAGTCTATAGACTAGTCTATAGTCTAGTCTATAGTCTATAGTTTAGTCTAGTCTATAGTCTAGTCTATAGTCTAGTCTATAGTCTAGTCTATAGTCTAGTCTATAGTCTAGTCTATAGTCTAGTCTATAGTCTAGTCTAGTCTAGTCTATAGTCTAGTCTATAGTCTAGTCTATAGTCTAGTCTATAGTTTAGTCTATAGTGTAGTCTATAGTCTAGTCTGTAGTCTAGTCTATAGTGTAGTCTATAGTCTAGTCTATAGTCAAGTCTATAGTCTAGTCTATAGTCTAGTCTATAGTCTAGTCAATAGTCTAGTCTATACTCTAGTCTATAATCTAGTCTATAGTGTAGTCTGGGGGTATAGTTGGTCTCTAGTCTGGCCTATGGTCTTGACTATAGTATGGATAATAGTCTTGACTATAGTATGGATAATAGTCTTGACTATAGTCTATACTGCTGAGTTGACTGTATTCTTGACCATATTCTGGACTATATACAGGACAATAGTCTTAACTATTGTCTAGACTATTGTCTGGATAAAAATAATAAAAATTTTAAGCTACCCATTGTGCATTTGAACATATTTGTTTAGTCAAACGAAAAACGTAAACAAATATTTTAACCTTTTTTGCACAACTTGGCACTTAACCTTTACATTTTAACAGATTCGTATATCTAACTCTTATTTTGGTTTCTGCTGCTTTGTCTTCCTCTATTGAAGCTTCTTCTACCACATCTACGAAAACTGCTGACATTAAGGAAGTGTTTATATACAAAAAAAGAAATTTGGAGAAAAAAAATAAAATTTCTTTAACAATGACATACTTCGGGCAGATAAAAGTAACACGAATAACAAAAGAAAATAAAGTTTTATAATTTCACTTCATAAATCATAAATAATGTTTATACTTTGTAACACATTTGTTTTTGTAATCGAAAAAGCAAAAGTTTTAAACAAATTCAAAACAAACGACAAGAAAACCATACTTAACCCTTAAAAACTCTTCGATTGAATAAAATATTTGAAAAATATGACCCCACACTCCTATTTTTTAATAAAAACAAATATTTCCCCTCTAACGTTTTTAATTTTAGACAATTATTTTTTAACTAACTCTTAGTTATTTAAAAAGTTTTTTTTTTTATAAAAAAATACAAATTTGTTTGGTTTTTTAAATATTTTATGTAAATTCATGTTAAAGTTGGCTGCTCTGTCTGATTATGTAATTGAAATTAAATAATTGTTTAAAGTTAAACAAGAAATAAAACTACATAAATACTGTTAACTACTTAATAAATTAATTTATTTAATTTAAAATTAATCAAAACTTTCTTTTATCTTTACAGGTATTTTTAAACACAATATGTTAGCGACACGAAATTTTAAAGGAAAATTATTTTTAAGTGGTGAGTAAAATTTACATTTGAAAAATTAATTTAAAAAATTATTTAAAAATTTATTAAATTTAAATTTTGATGAAATTTTTTTTCAATAATACTAATGATAAACATTTTATTTTATTTGAAACCTACATAATGGATCGCAGATCTAGCAAATGTTCACCTTGTCTATTGGTTAGTCAAGTTAAGGATAGGTATAGTCTGAACTATAGTGTAGACTGCTGTCTAGGCTACAGTCTGAATACTACGGTTTCGATCATAGGCTGGGCAAAAGTCTTGGCTGGACTATTTACATACTGGAATATAGACTAGGGTTATAACTTTTACACAATTTTTGAAAATTTTAAATCGGCTCAATCCATTCCACAAAGCGTACTAAAAAGTCGAAAAAGTATATCATGTACATATATCCTAGAGTTAAAAACGTTTCTACTATATAATTTTTTTTTAATTTTTACCTTAATTCAAAAATTCAGATTTTCTAAAAGAGGAGTTATATGGGTCTATCCTCATAAATTTTGGTAGGGGGATTTACGTCTGCATTAAAGTTATTTATGTAGAATTTTATCGTGATATTAGCGTTTATAAATGAATTATTTTCTGAGGGGAACTTTGTTTGGGAGCTAGGGTTAAATAAATCCCGATCATAACGAAAATCTGTAGTATCATTAAGACCTATATAGAGCTGATTTTTGGAGTGATAGTAGTTAGTTAGTTAGTTAGTTAGTTAGTTAGTTAGTTAGTTAGTTAGTTAGTTAGTTAGTAGTTAGTTAGTTAGTTAGTTAGTTAGTTAGTTAGTTAGTTAGTTAGTTAGTTAGTTAGTTAGTTAGTTAGTTAGTTAGTTAGTTAGTTAGTTAGTTAGTTAGTTAGTAGTTAGTTAGTTAGTTAGTTAGTTAGTTAGTTAGTTAGTTAGTTAGTTAGTTAGTTAGTTAGAGTTAGTGTTAGTTAGTTAGTAGTTAGTTAGTTAGTTAGTTAGTTAGTTAGTTAGTTAGTAGTTAGTTAGTTAGTTAGTTAGTTAGTTAGTAGTTAGTTAGTTAGTTAGTAGTTAGTTAGTTAGTTAGTTAGTTAGTTAGTTATTAGTTAGTTAGTTAGTTAGTTAGTTAGTTAGTTAGTAGTTAGTTAGTTAGTTAGTTAGTTAGTTAGTTAGTTAGTTAGTTAGTTAGTTAGTAGTAGTTAGTTAGTTAGTTAGTTAGTTAGTTAGTTAGTTAGTTAGTTAGTTAGTTAGTTAGTTAGTTAGTTAGTTAGTTAGTTAGTTAGTTAGTTAGTTAGTTAGTTAGTTAGTTAGTTAGTTAGTTAGTTAGTTAGTTAGTTAGTTAGTTAGTTAGTTAGTTAGTTAGTTAGTTAGTTAGTAGTTAGTTAGTTAGTTAGTTAGTTAGTTAGTTAGTTAGTTAGTTAGTTAGTTAGTTAGTTAGTTAGTTAGTTAGTTAGTTAGTTAGTTAGTTAGTTAGTTAGTTAGTTAGTTAGTTAGTTAGTTAGTTAGTTAGTTAGTTAGTTAGTTAGTTAGTTAGTTAGTTAGTTAGTTAGTTAGTTAGTTAGTTAGTTAGTTAGTTAGTTAGTTAGTAGTTAGTTAGTTAGTTAGTTAGTTAGTTAGTTAGTTAGTTAGTTAGGTTAGTTAGTTAGTTAGTTAGTTAGTTAGTTAGTTAGTTAGTTAGTTAGTTAGTTAGTTAGTTAGTTAGTTAGTTAGTTAGTTAGTTAGTTAGTTAGTTAGTTAGTTAGTTAGTTAGTTAGTTAGTTAGTTAGTAGTTAGTTAGTAGTAGTTAGTTAGTTAGTTAGTTAGTTAGTTAGTTAGTTAGTTAGTTAGTTAGTTAGTTAGTTAGTAGTTAGTTAGTTAGTTAGTTAGTAGTTAGTTAGTTAGTTAGTTAGTTAGTTAGTTAGTTAGTTAGTTAGTTAGTTAGTTAGTTAGTTAGTTAGTTAGTTAGTTAGTTAGTTAGTTAGTTAGTTAGTTAGTTAGTAGTTAGTTAGTTAGTTAGTTAGTAGTTAGTTAGTTAGTTAGTTAGTTAGTTAGTTAGTTAGTTAGTTAGTTAGTTAGTTAGTTAGTTAGTTAGTTAGTTAGTTAGTTAGTTAGTTAGTTAGTTAGTTAGTTAGTTAGTTAGTTAGTTAGTTAGTTAGTAGTTAGTTAGTTAGTTAGTTAGTTAGTTAGTTAGTTAGTTAGTTAGTTAGTTAGTTAGTTAGTTAGTTAGTTAGTTAGTTAGTTAGTTAGTTAGTTAGTTAGTTAGTTAGTTAGTTAGTTAGTTAGTTAGTTAGTTAGTTAGTTAGTTAGTTAGTTAGTTAGTTAGTTAGTTAGTTAGTTAGTTAGTTAGTTAGTTAGTTAGTTAGTTAGTTAGTTAGTTAGTTAGTTAGTTAGTTAGTTAGTTAGTTAGTTAGTAGTTAGTTAGTTAGTTAGTTAGTTAGTTAGTTAGTTAGTTAGTTAGTTAGTTAGTTAGTTAGTTAGTTAGTTAGTTAGTAGTTAGTTAGTTAGTTAGTTAGTTAGTTAGTTAGTTAGTTAGTTAGTTAGTTAGTTAGTTAGTTAGTTAGTTAGTTAGTTAGTTAGTTAGTTAGTAGTTAGTTAGTTAGTTAGTTAGTTAGTTAGTTAGTTAGTAGTTAGTTAGTTAGTAGTTAGTTAGTTAGTTAGTTAGTTAGTTAGTAGTTAGTTAGTTAGTTAGTTAGTTAGTTAGTTAGTTAGTTAGTTAGTTAGTTAGTTAGTTAGTTAGTAGTTAGTTAGTTAGTTAGTTAGTTAGTTAGTTAGTTAGTTAGTTAGTTAGTTAGTTAGTTAGTTAGTTAGTTAGTTAGTTAGTTAGTTAGTTAGTTAGTTAGTTAGTTAGTTAGTTAGTTAGTTAGTTAGTTAGTTAGTTAGTTAGTTAGTTAGTTAGTTAGTTAGTTAGTTAGTTAGTTAGTTAGTTAGTTAGTTAGTTAGTTAGTTAGTTAGTTAGTTAGTTAGTTAGTTGGTTGGTTGGTCATATGTTTTAATAAAAATATTCGCACTTATTTATTTAGATCAGTGTTTATTTCATTTAATAATTTAGCAAATAATTAATTTTAAATAATTTCTAAACATTTCAAATCTTACACGTGTTTCTATTTATAGTTTAAGTAAACGAATTATATTTTAATACATCCCGTGTGATCATTCAACTTTTAACCTTGACATAAGTCATTGTTCCCTTAATAATAATAATAACGATACCAGATTGTTTATACTAGATCCATGCTTATAAAACTAATTTTAAAACTTATTAATTAATAGACAATTCATATGAAACTCCCAAATTGATCAAACAAAAAAATTTAATTAACAATTGGCTACTAAAGATAAATTAAAACAAAAACAACCAACAAACATAATTAATTATTAAGTTTATAAGCAACCTGCTTTAACTTTAAATTAATTTAAAGCCCGGGGCTGTTAAACATTAAAACGGCATGAGATTTGAGGAAGATGTGGAAGAGTGGAATGATGTCGGAATGGTTTATTTAATTTGTTCATTGTAAATTTCTTTATAATTAATATTAATGTTTACGCATTATAAAAATATGTACATTTTTAAATGAATTGTGTTTTTCTCTATGGAGTACAAAATATTTATTAAAAATTTTGATTTCTTTGTAATTTGTTTTTTGTTTTAATGGAAAAAATTAGTTAATAACTAAGATAACCTTCAAATCGTAGACTAAAACATGTTAATGTATGTTAGTCGGCCTTACTAACTGTTTCTATTTTTTTTTTTTTTTTTTCAAATACTCTTTTATGTTTATCATTATTTTTTATCTTAATTTTTGGGCGGATTTGAAATAAAACATAAGTATTTTTGCTTAGATTTTATTTGTTTGTAGATTAAAATAATAATAACTAAACATGTGTAATTTATAATTTAATAGTTAAAAATGTAATTGTCTATCTTAAATTAAGGTGCAAATGTATGAATATTTAAAGAATAATGTATAATTATAATTTTTAATTAAACATAAACTTTAACATTAAGTTCAGGTAGTCAAAATGAAATATGATGTGTTTTTGGCGGGGGACCTTTAACTGTTAATTGCATTTATATGTGTACTTCAAGTATGATTTTCAGATTATTTATTTATTTATTTATTTGTTTATAGCTATTAATTATAAAACTTTATTTATTGTGGCTAGAAACTCATAATATTTATTTTATTTTTTCCCTTTTCAGCTTTTGTTTTCATGGTTTTGCTAAATTTCACACTTGCCGATTCACGGGTAAGTTTGATGAACAGATTTTCTTCGTTATCGTGGCTAAATATGTTGTCAACATTTTATTTCCGGTTTGATTTAGGAAATTAATCAAATTTTGAAGTACGCGCATTTATCATGCTAGCTCTTTAGCAGCATTGCTAAATTTATTTCTTGATCGAGAATTCACAATAAAATATTTTCTAAAGTTTAAAGGTCAAATTTGTATAAAGTACATACAACTAAACTAGAACGGAACTAGAACTGAACTAGAACTGAACTAGAACTGAACTAGAACTGAACTAGAACTGAACTAGAACTGAACTAGAACTGAACTAGAACTGAACTAGAACTGAACTGAACTAGAACTGAACTAGAACTGAACTAGAACTGAACTAGAACTGAACTAGAACTAGAACTGAACTAGAACTGAACTAGAACTGAACTAGAACTGAACTAGAACTGAACTAGAACTGAACTAGAACTGAACTAGAACTGAACTAGAACTGAACTAGAACTGAACTAGAACTGAACTAGAACTGAACTAGAACTGAACTAGAACTGAACTAGAACTGAACTAGAACTGAACTAGAACTGAACTAGAACTGAACTAGAACTGAACTAGAACTGAACTAGAACTGAACTAGAACTGAACTAGAACTAGAACTGAACTAGAACTGAACTAGAACTGAACTAGAACTGAACTAGAACTGAACTAGAACTGAACTAGAACTGAACTAGAACTGAACTAGAACTGAACTAGAACTGAACTAGAACTGAACTAGAACTGAACTAGAACTGAACTAGAACTGAACTAGAACTGAACTAGAACTGAACTAGAACTGAACTAGAACAGAACTAGAACTGAACTAGAACTGAACTAGAGAACTGAACTAGAACTGAACTAATTTAAAACTACTTATATAAAAATTAATAAACTTTCTTATCTTTCCAAGACCCATATACCCGCACGTATATTGGCCAAACAAACCGGTGCTACACAATTCGAAGAGGAACAATATGAAACCCATGCTGATTGCAGTGATCACAAGCATCATTTAAAGAAGAGAGCTTCCGATGAAGATGTCGACTATGAGGTCTATCAGGGTGTGGTGGGAAGACCGGGTATTGATTTTCCCATATATCCACGTATACCCAAGACATCGTTCAGTTGCAGATCTTATGGCAATGGCTATTTTGCCGATATGGAAACTGATTGTCAAGTAAGAATTAATTGTGTAATTTATATGAAAAATTTTATTAATTATGTACTTTTTTACAGGTCTTCCATATCTGTGAGGAGGGACGTAAAATATCATTCCTTTGCCCCAATGGTACTATTTTCCAACAGAGTGAATTAACCTGTGATTGGTGGTTTAAAGTAAATTGTTTGGGTTCTTCTGGTTTCTATGCTGACAGCACTGAATTGTTGAACAAACAAAAGGTACAACGTTTGAAACCCTCCATACCGGTACAGGGATTCAATATTGTAGGAGGTGGTTTGAATATTAAGCCAAGAACACCGGCTAAAGGTTCTTCCCGTTCTAGAGTTAGTAACATTAATGCCAATGGTAATGGTAACAATAAATCTGATAGACGCATTGATTCGGATGAAGCACCTTCATTGGAGAGTGTAGATTTTGATGATTTATCAGCTGAGAAACAAAGAGGTGCATCAGCTAAGCCTGAAATTTCTAATATTGATAATAATGACAATGAAAATGAATCTCAAGTGGTGGCGGAATCGGCCTCCTTTGTCAGCAATCGTAATCGCAATAATTATAATTATGATAAAGTTAAATTGGATAATGCACCCAAAACTAGTGGTTCTGTTAAAACAGATAGTGGTCGTAGAGGTAATGGCGATCGTGGTTCCCAAAGACATGGTTACGGCGAACTTAATGCGGATACCACAGAGAGAGGACGCAATGGCCATAGAGGACAACAACGTTATCGCGATGAAAAGAAATCTGAATCATATGATCGCAATGAGAAGATAAAACCTGCAAAGAAGGACAGACTTGTGGTGGATAATAGCAATGATAAGTATAATAACCCCACAGCCACATATAATTCAGGTACATATACCACCGCTAGAAGATTTGAATCTACTAGAACTACACCATTCTATACACCCACCGTACCTTCTGTTAGCAAATCGAAAACTACTGAAGGCAAAACTTTCTATGTTAAGGGAGCCACCGCTACCACACCCACTCCCCATCGCTTCAATGTGAATAACAATGGTGCCGGCATATTTTTGGAATCTACAGGTAGTGCCAAAACCACAGCCAATCCAGTGGAATTTGAAATTACTGCACCCACTACTCTAAGACCCATTATTATAGGTATGCGTCATTATTTCGATAAAGACTTTTCAGCCGAAGTTTTACCTAGAAAAACAAATTACAAATACGATTCCGAGGACTTTTTGCCAACCACTACACCGGCCACCACTGGACCAACTTATTTGCCTAAATCAAAGTCAGCTCCTAAAATTTCGCAAGATGCTGCTGGTGACTCTTTCCTATTCGCCCCCATAAGTGTGCCACAAGAAGAGATTTCGCGCAATGTCAATGATATGTTGAAGACCATTAATGTTTTGAAACATAATTTCGATGATGTAGAGCTGATTAAAGTAAATGGTAAAAATCGTTTAGGTTTGGATATACCACCATCATCTGGACCAGATGCTTTGATTTCTTTAGCTCAATACTTTGCCACAGAGCAGCACAATGATAATACATCGAAAAACTTGAACTCATTGGAAGATAATGCCGGTAAAAAGACTGGACAAAAGAGTAGCAGCAGTGGAAATAATAACAAAAACGGAAGTGGTAGTGAAAATGTCAAGACAAGTGGTAGCGCTAATGATATTGCTAACAGAAATGGTAAACCTTCGAATACTTTAGCTCCCAAGGAAAAACTTTCCGATACCACTGCCACCCTAACGACCGAAGCCACACCTGTTTTGGCTATAAACAGCGATGATATTCATACCAGTTTATTGAGCAATGGTACCGTTAACAAATACAATAACTTGTTTGGCTTAAATTCCTCCGATAACTCAAATGTTGATCCTTCTCAGGGTTTGGCTGACACCAATGCTCCTAAAACCAAGGAAGTTATTACACCCTTCCCCCAAATTGGCACTACAGATGAAACTATAAGAGCTTTGTCCGAAAAGCCAGAATCACGCAAAATAGCTCAAGTATTCTCAAGTGCTTTGACCAACTATCTCAATGACCCCGAAAAATTCCGTGAAAGTCTTGCTGCTGTAAGGCCCACTGATCCTACAGTTGATAAAAATTCCAAATTTGTTACTGTAACCGACCCTACACTTTTCAACCAAGGAACGGCTGCTACCTACTTGCCAACCACACCCACCCAGGCACCCAATGGAGCTGATTCTACTACACAAACTAATATTGCCTCTGTGGTAAATACAAATCTTATAACATCCACCTTTACACCAGATTCGGCCAGTACTACTGAAGATTTCGATTCTACCACCTTCAAAAGTTCTTCAGAACAAAAGTCTAGTTTAGAGCTGTCGGCCGAATTAGAACCTCCCACCCCCGATTCAGGTGAAGGAGAGGAATTCTTACAGAGAGAACAGACACAATCCTTTGTGAAACCCAGAAATGAACTAGTGAAAAACAAGGATAAATCTGGCAAGGTAACCACAGTTAAACCTTGGTCTTTCATCGAGGAAGATGATGTCTTAGATCCACTTAAGATTAACGACGGTTTAATGAAATCAAAGACCACAACATTGAGTCCTTATGCCTATGTATCCAAAGATGAAACCACTGTATTACCCAGATCTCGACACAGCAGTAATATCGAAGTTTTATCCAGTAATGGTCAAAGAAGCAAATTACAACATGGCAATTCCGAAGTTTTAGAACCCAAACACAACTCCCGATTACGCTCTGAAACAAGCACTTCTACAGATCCCTGGCAAGACATTTTCGATTCCTATGATTTGCCCAAAGAATCTTTACCCTCCAATACCGGTCTACAGCGTATTGCCAATAAATTATTTGGTGGCCTCAATGAAAATGAAGCCTACCACTTGAGAAATGTAATGGCCGAAGCAGAACACAACCGCCAAGTATTGCGTCTATTATTGCTGCTCATACAAACCTGTGACGATCAAAATGGCAGAGCCTTGGAAAGATCTCGCAAGCATTTGATTAATGCCCTCATCAATATGGATGGTAAAATTAAGGATGAAACCGGTCATGGTAAAACATCTCACCACAAAGACAAAACTTTGACCACGACTGAGCAGTTGCCGGTTACCACCTATAGGAAAACTGGCAGTGGCGAAGAGTTTACAACAACCACATTAAATTATCCCTCCACCACCACAGATTTACCCACCACTACCATAACTGGCTCAACCACCGATGGCAGCAGTAACTCTAGCGGGGAATCTACAACAACACCGAAATTCGTTATAAAAGTAGAGGACAATGAAAAGGAAGCTTCCTCTTCGACACTCTCCGCCGTAGCAGTAGACACTGAGGGTAATTCAGATAGGAGAGCTTTGGAATTATTAAAGTCATTATATTCATTAGCTTCCAAATTTACAAGTAGACGGTAAAAGCTTAGACTAAAACTTTTCATTGCAACAGTGTTGTCAGTAAACAAAAACAACAGAAAACAAAAAGCTATTTTGTCAAAGAAAAAGCTTTTTTTCACACATCAACGATTCCTAACACTATTCACAGTGTTGCTAGTTACACACAACTTTAAGCTTAAGCGAAAAAGCTACTTACGTAAGCTTTCTGCTCAACACTATTCCTAGTAATAACTTTAAAACCAGTGTTGCCACATTAAGACAAAACTTTTTGAAAAAAAAAAAAACAAAACAGCGAGCTTAGTTTAATTTTAAAAAGTATTTTGCTTTTTTTAAGAATAAAACACAAAAATTTAGTCAAAATTTTCTTTAAATATTCCGAAAAAAATATACTTTTTTACAAAAAACAAAAAATAGTCTGTAAGAAACTTCTAATACTCTTCTGTCTGTATTTAAACTGATTTCATTATTACTGTTTGAAATTATTTGAAATTTTAGACTTAACTTTTAATTATAATTTAAATTTTTTATTTTTTTTAATAATTTTAAGTTTTCTTTTTCGTAATTATTAAGTTTTACAAAACTGTCTTTTTTACTGTACATAAATTTTAAAAAATGTATCAAAATTTGTGTTGAATTTTCAATTATCGTCCCAAATAAGCGATAAAAGTATTAAATAGTAAAACAAATTACACAAATTAAATAATAAAATACTCATTTTACATGAACTTCTTTAGAGAAGGGGAAACCTTTTACCCTTATTTACTTTTTGTTTCTTTTTTTATAATTATCTACACTTATAACTATTTCTACAAAATTGTTCTAAACTTTTTTTGTAAATATTTATTAATATTATTGTCTATTACTTTTGTATCGTATATTTAATTAAAAAATAATAATAAAATAAAAAAAATTAAATTATGGTTGTTTTATTTAAAATAAAACATTCAGCAAAGTTAGATCCGGAATTAGTATTGAAAAATTTAACTGTTAGGGTCGTCCACATTTTAGGGAATACCTTCGGTTGAATATTTATACATCAATATTGTAACTTTTTTTTTAACTGGACGATATTTTTAATATCGGGGTTACCATGTTTGTGCTCCTTGTACTTCGTTCTATCTAATCGCTTGCCATAGTAGCCCCGTTATAGAGCGACAGGTATTATGAGACAAGCCCAATATATAACCAGACAAGGAAAATGCAATCACTGAAAGGGCATACCCAACATCAGGTGAAACACCCTATTAATGCTATGAGTAATGCTTTATTCCAAGTACATTCTCATCATTTATAAATCTCGCACAACCACACTACTGATATGGCTCTGTTGTTTTGGCAACAGCACCCAAGTTATTGTTGTTGTAACAGCTAAAACTATGCAATAATCTAGTTGGGAGGTTTTATATACATCAATATCCAGGTCTAAAAATTTGACTACTTCAACTGGATGCATTCATAAATCCATTGGACAGAGTGAAGTAGGATTAACTGAGCAGTTGAATATGTGGTGGATTTCATGAGGACCCTGACCACATGTGGGACATTCGTTGGAGACGGCACGGTCTATACGTGACCAGTAGGCATTGAGCCTGTTGCTCCATCCCTATCTTAGTTATACCAGAACTACTCTTGTTTTCGCGGCAGTTTATCTTCCGTGTCTGCTATGGGCGTCTCAATGAATGTCGTTCAAAGTTACCGTATACGAGGACTGATCTAGTAAACCCTGCACATATCTGCATATGAGTAATGATCCATTTCAAGAAGATCAAGAAGATACGAAGATTCTTCCTGACATGCCTCGGGAGAGTATGCAACAGAGTGATGTTAAAGTTGGGATGACTCATCCGATGACATCCTGAGGAACTGTTTAGTCAACATGACATTGTGTTACTTGACTGGGAGGACCTTCGTTTCCTTGTGAAGTTGATGTTTTGAGGTAATTTGTAGGCAGCCCGTTACAGTCCTTAGGGTGGCATTTTGGCAGCTTTGAATGTTTCGCCACTGGGTATCACTGAGCGAAGGTGAACACTCTGCAACAGCATAATTAACCACTGACCGACCAATCGTTTTATATGTAGCTAACAAGGTTTCTTTATCCATACCCCAAGTGTTGCCGGCTAGCGCTTTGAGGACCCTAGTAACAACAACAGCACATAGGTTCACGTTATTGGTGGACCGAAGTACGGATCCATATTTAACTGATAGGAATTATTTTAATAGCCAAATGGACCTACTGTGATAAGTTCAGAATGTTCTTAGAGTAAACTTTAAACACACTCAACAATGAAAGAAAATCGCCGATAAATTAAATATAAAGGTATACTAAGCTCCACTCAGCTCAACCAACCATCACTCCAGGATCACAACACAATAACAACTCAGAATTATTCTCATCCATCGGATACAAGTTTCCGAAGGAACCTAAAGATTACAATGAGATTCTAAACATAATCTTACTTATAGCGTATTCGTTCATCATTGTTGATGCTACAGCCAGGGAAATATGAACAACTTAGCGCAACTTTTTGATTCAAGGACCATTATTTATATATTGTCCACTTAATACTCGGATGTTCTCATTTTAGTTAGTTTGAAAGGAGGATGTACGTTATATTAGATCCGAAAAATATACCTATGCCTCTATCGGCCCTGTTGGGCACTTCTTCAACAAAGTCCATAACCTACTGTAAAACTAAAACATTACCAACTGACCTACTGATTGAAGCAATGTTCTCCAGGGAGTGAATACAATTATAAAGACATTTTGACCATTCGGATTGAGAATCTTCATATGTACATGGATGTTCACTAGGGTGATCGACTCGGTTTTCAACCACTTTTAAAATCGGTTTTTTTCTGATTTACCTGTGTCGGTTTTTTCTAAATGTTGATTTTTCGAATATCGAATAACCCACTTTTTACTTTTCGAATACTTTTATTTGTTTTTGTATTCAAAGATTAATTAAAAAAATGTTTAAGTAAATAATAATACAGACCGTCTAAACTTTAAAAATATTGAGTCCAGGAACTAGAGTATATATTTCTAACGCACCTTTGGTTAAACATTTTTTATTTTCCTAATTACAAATTTTATTTGTAAAATTTATTGGAATAACTATTTGAAAAAATTTTCTCAATCTTAAGATTATATTCCAATTACAATAATTAATTTGCGGCTAAAATATTATTGAGGTGTTGGAATGCCTATGAAAATTGTCTAAACAATTCAGACTGTTTACCTATTCCATCTTTTGAAAACAGTATAGAGTCCAAAGCGAAGGATCTGGAGAGCTGAAATTTTGCCGAATTATTTTCAGTTAATTCAGTTTGTTTGGTATTGGGCAATATCAGTTCACGATTTTAACTATCCCTCATATAAGGTAATTTTTATTGGAGCCCAAATCTCTCTATCAAATTTCTTGAGAATCGGTTTATAACTGACCCTAAATAATTTACTCTGCCTCCCATATAAGGTCCCTTTAGAAAATGACTTTAAATAATTAGCTTAAAATTGCAGTAAAGCGTTGAAATTCGACATAAACAGATTTTATTGGATCTAAAATTTCTCTTTCAAATTTTATATGGATCGGTCAATAACACAGGTCGACAAATTTTTAAAAAGACAACGAATCTGTCCTCAGAATTTCTCCATCACATCTGCGATTTGAGATGTCGTGTCTTCAAATTGAAAAAACGCCATTTGTGGCGTTATAAGTTATAAAGTTATAACTTATAACAGCGCCAAGACAACTTTATTTATGAAATGTTGTATGGCATTGACTTTTTGTCAACATTACAATAAATGCTTAACATCTGACATATATTCTTTCTTCTTGGAGATATCTTCACCTAACAATAAATATATAACTTATACATTTTCTCTATGAATTTTTTTATAGTTGTTAATATATCATCCGTTGAAGTTGACGGACAGACAGACATCGTTAAGCTGAATCAGAAAATGATTTTGAGGCGATTGAAATATCCTCATATATGTGCGGATCCATTATTTTTTTTCGTTATAAACAATATTTACTAAGCATAATGCCCTCCACATTACAGTAGTAAAGGGTATAAATACCATGAATATTCCGTAAACCATGAGTTTTCAAGCTTTAAAGAAGACAGGTCAGATTCTAAAGCTAATAGAATGTACTTTCAGTTGGTATACAACATTTTATAAATAAAGTTGTCTTGGCCTCAATAAGAGCCAAAAATGGAGTTTTTCAAATTTCAGGACACGATATCTCAAATCCCAGATATGAGAAAATCTGAGGTTAGAGGTCAGATTTGGATTCAGCGCTGCTCAATCCTTTAGAAATATCTAACTTGGTCTCAGGGTATCGACTTTTCTCAAATGTTGTCGGTCTGTGGAGAAATTCATCCAATCCCCTATATAGATTCCCCTTAGGAAATATAAATTTGATATAAACAAGAAACCAAATATCCTCTACGGGATTCCACGATCCCTTTTACAGAAAATCCAATTGTCCTCTATAAATCCTTCAAAAAATTTGATATTATATTCGTATTAAACATAGGTAGAGCCTTTATTACTTTTAGAGTTTTCTATTATGTTGAACCAAAAAGCGGACCTTTTGGACCGTTCATTAACGGAGTGAATAATTTTTGATTAAGAATGCACCATCCTGATTCAATGAAAATCTCTAAAACATGACTTTCTGGTACTTCTTATTTCATCAACTTCAATTTTTTTTAAATTTCCGTTATATTGAGAATAGAATCATTAAATCAAACCTATAGGATCCTTATTGATTGAATCTAGAAACATATATGAAAATCTATAAATGATAAATGATCTCCCATATGGAATTCAAAAGTCTGAGGAAGTCTGAGGAATATATGCAAGGCTGAATCCTTTATTTATTTGTTAATACTGCCCTCTTCGGCACATATGTATATAGTAAAATTGTTTATATACATACATAGCATTCATGCTAACTTTCATGAACACCGATCTGAAGCACCAATTTGTCTTCAAATGGACATTCTGATTGCTAAGGGTTTTAAACAAAGAGGACTACTATGTACATGATTATTAACTGATTTAAACAATTAAAAACTTTTGTAATAGATTTTAAAAGATCTACAAATTCGAGTCATTTGTTATTTTCCAGGTATTAAATAAGATTTGTATAGTAAATTATTGCTAAATATTCTGTCATCGACATCAACATCATTTAATAATTTTAAAATTTAATAATTACTGTTCAAACAAATATTTGCACACTTAAGTAAATGCCTTCAATTATCCACCTCATGCCGCCTTTATTTATAACATAGATTCTGGCAAAGAATTTTTATTAACCCAAACACTTAGTGACAATTTAATCAAGTCAAATAATTCAAGGCCCTCCTCCACCATTTAAATGAAGAATATTTAAAAAATAAAATAAAAAATCAATACGTCATTAAATACTCGTACGCTGAACAATAGTGATGAAAACAATAGTAAATTAAATTAATTCAATAAATATTTGCCATTTTCTTATTTATTTCAAAAATTTGATTAGTTTTATGACACACAACTTATCAAAATGGGTTAACAAGCTCCACAATGCTGATGATGACGATGGTATTAAAATAAAGAACAAGGTTGTGCTTGACCAAAACCATCAATTTACAAATTTCAAATTTGTCATACTTACGATACACTAGAGATACAAATACGCCACAGTTAAGGATACAATCTGACCTTAATTGAGCAAAAGAATTGAATTGATATTTGGGCAACACTAAACTATTGCTTATTATAGGGTGTCTGTTCATTCACAGCAAATTGAAATCACAAACAATGGATAATCCCTGGTAATAAATCTCTTCAAACTTTGCAT